GGTTGCGATCCCGTTACCGGTCAGTAAAAAAGACAAAAAGGAAAAAAAAATTTTTAAAAATAAAAATAATAAATTTAGTACTACTAATAGTGGCTTTTGATAGCATGTTGCTTGCTGTATCCTAACTAAGCTGAAAGACCATAATGTATTCATTAATAATGTGACCTTTACCAATTTTTAAATGTGAGCTAAAATGGTTATGCTTTACTTTAAATTAGTGAAGATGCAGAGTTACTTTGGCGTTTGGCACGAGCATCACGTGATATAGCTCAGCTTAGCAGAACCCCAGAAGAGGAGAAAAAACTATTGGTATATGAAGCCCTAGAGTATGCAAAAAGAGCACTAGAAAAAAATGAATCAAGTTTTGCAGCTCATAAGGTGAGTTCCTTAATATAACTAAGCTCTTACCATTTACTGAGAAGAACATTGGTCTATACTTATCTATTAACCTTAATTTACATAGGAAAAAATTCTCTATTTTAAAGGAAGAGATTTATTTTTATAACATTTTTTTGTAATTTTTCTTGCATTCTCGGACAGTTAGTCTAATTTAATTAGTATGTTTCACAAATTACTTTTGTGAATCTTTAAATTTTAAAGGAAGAGATTTATTTTTATAACATTTTTTTGTAATTTTTCTTGCATTCTCGGACTGTTAGTCTAATTTAATTAGTATGTTTCACAAATTACTTTTGTGAATGTTTATTTTTAAACAAAAATGTTAGTAATTTTATAAATTACCTAGATCTTTATTCCTAGTAGTATATGCACATGACAAATATTTTTAGATTTTCCTTACATTATATTTGTTTTATGTGGAAATAGGAATATAGCAGCTGGACAACTGACACCTATTATAACTTTTCACATGTAACTCAGCTAGTTTCTGGATTTCCTAATTGGTTTAGAACAATCTTTTTCAGTAGACAATGTGGGGAGACTAGGGAGGGTTACTGACATTTTGGATTAGGACATTTCTTTATCATGTTGTACTGTCCTCAGTAGAGCCCCTAAGTCATTGTGACAACCAAATTTCATCCTCATACATTTCCAAATGCTTCCTTTAGTGATTGGTAGCCCCCTACAACACCCCTGCCCTAGTAGAACTACTTGTGGTTTATATAAAGGATAAAAGAGATAGCAGTTCTTTTAAATTTATTGAGACTTGTTTTATAGCCCAGAATATGGTCCATCTTTGTAAATGTTCTTTGTGCACATGAAAAGAATGTGTATTCAGCTGTTGATTGTTAGAAATATCCTATAAATGTCATTAAGATCAAGTTGGTTGATAGTATTGTTTAGGACTTCTAAATCCTTACCGATTTTCTATTTGTTCTATAAATTATTGAGGGAGGAGTTTTGAAATCTCCATGTATAGTTGTAGATTTTTCCACTTCTCTTTACAATTCTGTTAGTTTTTACAACATGTATTATAAAGTGCTATTATTAGGATATAAATGTTTAGATTTGTTATATTTTCTTGATAAATTACCTCTTTATCATTGTAAAATGATTCTCTTTGTCTCTAGAAATATTCTTGGTTTTGCAACCTTCTTTGCCTGACGTTTATGTAGCCACTTTTGCTTTCTTTTGATTGTTAGCATGGCACTATATATCCTTTACTGTCTTTTTATTTTTAACTTATTTGTGTCTTTATGTTTAACATGTACTCCTTGTAGGCAGTTGATAGGTCTTGCTTTTATTTTTATTTTCACATGTTTATTTCACATGTAGCATTTTTTAGTAAGATATACTTCACATTACATAAAATTCACCATTTTAAAGTGTATGTTTCAGTGGCTTTTAGCATGTTCACTATATTGTACAATCATCACAATTAATTAATTTCAGAACACTTCCATTACCCCAAAAAGTGAACTCTATATCTATTACCAGTTAGTACCAATACCCCCTCCTCCTATTTCCTGACAAACACTAATCTTTCTGTGTCTATGAATTTGTCTATACTGGAAAAGTCATACAATATGTGGCCTTTTGTGTCTGACTTCTTTCACCTAGCATAATATTTTCGAGTTTCATCTATTTTGAGTATGTGACAGCGCTTCATTCTTTTTTTATGGCTGAATAATATTTTATTGTATGGACATACCACATTTTGTTTATCCATTCATTAGTTGATAGGTATTTGGTTTATTTCCACCTTTCGGTATTGTTAATAATGCAGCTGTGAACATTCATGTACTTGTACTTGTATTTGTTTAAATACCTATTTTCAGTTCTTTTTTTTTTTTTTTTTTTGGTGCCTGGCTAGTACAGGGATTGGTTTATATGGTAATTCTGTGTAATTCTTTTTGAGGAACTGAAACTTGTCTTCCAAAGTAGCTGCACTGTTTTATTTATTTTTATTTTTTAAAAGACTACTGGTAAGGGGATCTTAACCCTTGACTTGCTGTTGTCAGCACCACGCTTTCCCAAGTGACCTAACTGGTCATGCCTATATAGGGATCCGAACCCGTGGCCTTGGTGTTATCAACACCACACTCTCCCAAGTGAGCCACAGGCCGGCCCTTGCACCATTACATATTGTCACCAATAATGTGTGAGGATTCTCATTTCACTACATTATTTCCAACATTTTTTTATTGTGCATTTTTATAATTATAGCCGTCCTAGTATTTGTAAAATGGTATGTCATTGTGGTTTTGATTTGCATTTTCATAACAGTGTTGAGAGTCTTTCAATGAATGTATTGGGCATTTACATATCTTCTTTGGAGAAATGTCTATTCAGATTCTTTGCCCATTTTAAAATTGGATTGTTTGTTTTTTTATTGTTGAGTTGTAAGAGTTCTTTTTGTATTATAGGTACTAGTCCCTTGTTTGATATATGATTTGCAAATATTCTTTCCCATTGTGTGGATTGTCTTTTCACCTTCTTAATATTGTGCTTTGATGCACAAGTTCTTATTTTGATGAAATCCAATCTAGTTATTTTTTCTTTGATTGTGCCTTTGGTATCATATCTAAAAAACTTGTTGCCTAATGTAAGGTTATGCAAATTTTTGTCTTTTTCCTTCTAAGAGTTTTATATATTTTTTGCTCTTACAGTTAGGTCTTTAATCCATTTGGAGTTAACGTTTATACATGGTGTGAGGTGGGAGTCCCAGATTCATTGTTTTGCATGTAACTGCCCAGTTGTCCTGGCATCATCTGTGAAAAGACTTCTTTCTCCACTGCGTGGTCTTGATAGTCTTGACAAAAATGAATTAAACGTGTGTGTGGGTTTATTTCTGGACTCTTGATTCTGTTCTGTTGATCTAATTGTATCCTTATGTCAGTACCGAAATGCCTTGGTAGCTTTGTAGTAAGTTTTGAAATAAACAAGTGTGAGTTCTCTAATTTTGATCTTCTTTCTCAAGATTGTATTGACTATTCTGGGTCCCTTGGATTTTCATATGAATTTTAGGATCAGCTTGTAAATTTCTGCAAAGAAGTCATTTGGGATTTTGATAGGGATTTCATTGAATCTGTAGATCAATTTGAGGAGTACTGCCATCTTAACAATATTAAGTGTTCCAATCTATGAACACATGTTGTCAGTCATATCTTCTTTGATTTCTTTCAACAATGTTTTGTAGTTTTCAGCATACAAGTCTTGGACTTATTTGATTAAATTTATTTCTAAGTATTTTATTCCTTTTGATGCTATTGTAAATGGAATTGTTTCCTTAACTACATTTTCAAATTATTCATTGTTAGAGTATAGGAATGCAGTTGATTTTTTTTTATTAATTTTATATCCTGAAACTTTAACTCATTTATTAACTTCACTAGTTATATTTTTGTGGATTCTTTAGGGTTTTCTATGTTAGACATGTCATTATAAATAAAGATAGTTCTATTTTTCCTTTCCAGTATGGATGCGTTTTATTTCTTTTCCTCGCCTAGTTTTCCTGGCTTGAACCTTCACTATGGTGTTGAATAGAAGTGGCTTGAGGGGATATCTTTATCTTGTTCTTGATTGTAGAGGGAAAGCTATTAGTCTTTTACCATTAATTATAATGTTAACTGTGGGTTTTCCATAGATACTCTTTATTAGATTGAGAAGTAATGTTCCCTCTATTGCTAGTTCGTTGAGTGTTTCTATCATGACAGAGTATTGGATTTTTTTCAAATATTTTATCTGTATCTTTTACAGTGATCATGTCGATTTTTCTCTCCTTCATTCTGTTAATGTGATGTGTTACATCAATTGATTTTTTTCTGTTAACAAAACTATTTAATAGTGTTTGAGAAACAGGACAAAATATTTTCTTTCGCTTTTCTAAATCCATTCTCTATGTACTCTCTATTCAATTCAGAGAATTGAATGCAAAGGGAGAATTTTATGTAGGAGTTACTGCGGAACTGATTAAAAGTTAAGTACAGCTGGGGGCCGGCCCGGTGGCGCACTGCTACAGTGCACTGCTTGGGGGCGCGGCGGCGCTCCCGCTGAGGGTTCGGATCCCACATACAGACCGGTTCCCGCTCACTGGCTGAGCGAGGTGCGGGTGCAGCACCGAGGGTTGCGATCCCGTTGCCGGTCCCGGGTCCGGTATGGGCGCGACACTGAGGGTTGCGATCCGTTGCCGGACACGAAAAAAGACAAAAAAAAAAAAAAAAAAAGTAAGTACAGCTGAGTGACAGAATATATTTTTATTTCTACAAATGTAAGTCCTTTGCACTACTTTCTAGAAGAAATACATTTTCAGGGCATGGACTATAAAGTGACATACAGTGCAGAAATAAAGAAGTTTGTAAATCCTTTAAATTTCTGGCTGTTGAGACAGTATTTTTGGAGAGCTGAGGTTTTTTTTAGCTGTGAAACCAGAGCCAGCTATTAAGCAGCTAGAATGCTACAGTAGTTGGATACATGACCATTTCTCTTTTAGCACATTCTTTGTTTTCCTTTCTAGAAGTTGTAGATATCTATTTAGTTAGATTATCTGTCGTCTTAATGAAGTTGCATCCATAACAGTCATTGTCATCTATGTTCCTTCAGTTGTTGTATCTGTATTTGGAATGCCATACCTGACGTCATGATAGGATTAGAAGTGGCGGCAGCAGAACCACCATGCAACACAGGTGTGTACTCTGGCGCAGAAATAGGTGCCTGGAACCTCGAAATTTTATTTCTTGGGGCAGAATCTGATCTGTAGTACATGGAATCATTTCTGACCAGCTGTCTGTTTTGGTGAACAGCATTTTCACTCATAGAATGCACTTTTTAGCCTGCCAACTGCATGGATTTCTTCATTTTGAGGGGCTGGAGGAAGTTTTTCTCAATCCAGGAAATCTAGTTGTCTTTCATTTAGGGTAAGTACATGAGGTGTTTTTAGTGTCAGAAGTTTAAATGGGAGCTGACTGAGTAAGGTTAAGATCTGCTGGTCTTGAAAATGGGATGTCTTCATTAGTGTTTGCTACAACAGTCCTCTCTAGAACCTGCATTATCACACTAGCATTTGGAACTCCTTGGAATTCTTGTTCCGGGTCAGCATTTGGTGGTGGGACTTTTACTTTTTCCAGTATCCTCATTCATTGACTAATAACCTTTGGTGTATTTTATTTCATACTGAATTTGACTAATGTCTTCCATCTCAACAGCAGTGGGAGAAGGAAGTACTGCCCCACTCACCCCCTGGGCTCACTGATGGAGAGGGCTACTGCCTGCTGGCTCCCCGGGCACTCAGATGGGTCTTCTTAGAGGCCATTGGCTGAGCACACTGAGGCTCCAGGGCAAAATAGGATGCAAGAATGGCCAGGAGTGGCTCCTTCCATGACAATGGATTTTTTAATGGTGAGCCAACCTTGTATTCCTGGGATAAATTCCACTTGGTTATAGTGTACGATACTTTTTATATGCTGCTGGATATGGTTTCCCAATATTTTATTAAGGATTTTTACATCTGTATTCATAAGGGACTTTGGTGTTTATTTTTCTTTTCTTGTGATATCTTGTGTTAGCTTTGATATCAACTTAATACTGGTTTCATAGAATATTTAGTAGATTTCACTTTTCTTCTATTTTTGGGAAGTGTTTGAGAAGGATTGGTATTAATTATTCTTTAGATTTTTGCCAGAATTCATCATTTGGTCCTAGGCTTCTCTTTGTTAGAAGTTTTATGAATACTAGTTATGTTTTTTTTACTTGTTATCAGTCTATTCAAATTTTGTATTTATTTTTAAATCAGTTGGGTAGGAATTTGTTCATGTTATCTAGTTTATCTAATTTTTTGGAATACAATTATTCCTAGTATTCTCTTATAATACTTTTTGGTTTTGTATTTATTACAAAGGCAGGTAGTAATATATGCCCTCTTCCATCTCTGATTTTAGTAATTTGGGTGTTCTCTCTTTTCTTTCTTGTGTCTAGCTAAAGGTTTGTCAATTTTGTTGTTCTTTTCAAAGAACTAACTTTGGTTTTGTTGTTCTTCTCTATTTTTTTATTCTCTTATTTATTTCCATTATTACCTTTATTATTTCCTTCCTTCTGCTTGCTTTAGGTTTAGCTTTCTTTTCTTTTTCTGGTTTCTTAAGGTTTTAAAGTTAGGTTATTGATTTGAGATCACTCCAGCTCTTTTTTAGTACTGTTTGCATGAAATATCTCTGCATCCTTTTACTTTTGAATGTAAAGTGTCTTGTAAAGCATGTTGAATCATGTTTTTAATACATTCTGCCAATCTCTGCCCTTTAGTCATAGAGTTTAATCCACTTACATTTAATGTAATTGGTGATGCCATTTGCTTTTGTTTTCTATTTGTCATGTCTTTTTGTTTCTCAGTTCCTCTATTAGTGCCCTTTTTTTTGGTATTAAATAGATATTTTTTTGGTGTACCATTTTAATTCCCTTGTTTCTTGTACTAAATGTTTCAAGTTATTTTCTTAGCGGTTACCCTGAAGATTACCATTAATATCATGTTTTATAGCAATGTAGTTTGGATTACATGTGAACTTAATTCCCAATAGTATACAAAACTTTGCTCTTATATGTCTCTGCTTCTTTCCCCTTGTTCTAACTGAATTGGCTGGCACCTTGATCTTGGACTACCCAGCCTCCAGAATTGATTTTTTTTCTCATTATGAGTGTTATTTTCCTGCTTCTTTTGTGTGACTGGTAATTTTTGATTGATGACAGACATTATGGATTTTACTTTGTTGGATGCTGGATATTTTTGTATTACTAAAAATTTTCTTGAGCTGTGTTCTAGAACATGGCTGAGTTATTCAGAAATAATTTAATCCTTTTGGATTGTGCTTTAAAGTTTGTTAGGCAGGACTATAGTAGCATTTATTCTAGGATTAATTTTTCTCACAACTGATATTCTCACCCCTTTGTGAGCTCTGGGATTCTAATTCTGGGTGGTTTCTTTTCCCAACCTTGGGTAGTTTCTTCACATGCAAGTGGTGATCTTTCTTAGCTGAATACTCAAGGGTGCCCTCTGCAGTTTTCTGTAGTTCTAGCTCTGGGTGGCTTTCTACAGTACTCTACCCTGGGATCTGGGCTTCCCCAGATTCCCAGTCTTCTCTCCTACAAGTAGGGAGACTGCCAGGCCCTCCCTGGGCTGCAGACTGGAAATCTTCTCCAGGCAGCAAGCTGGGGCCTTCATAGGGCTCACCTCATTTGTTTCTTGACTCTCAAGTGTTTCTGTTACCTGATGTCTAATATCTTGAAACTCTTTATATCTTACATTTTTATTGTTTTTTAGTGTTTCAAGCAGGAAGGTAAGTCTGGTATCTATTGCTCCTTCTTGGCTAGAATGTTTATTTAAAATGAAATTTTTCTTTAAAAAATGCAAATTCATTACAGACAATAGACATTTTGGAAATTGAAAAAAAATACAAATATGGAAATAAAAATCACCCATAGTCACATCTCCTATTGTTAACACTTGCTAGTATGATCATTAGTGAACAGTCTTACAAAGTAAATAGCAAGCTAATCAAGAGCAAAATGTATAGGAGTCATCCATAAGCTTGCATTTGCTTTGCATATAAATGATAGTTAAATGCATAAGAGCTTATTTTATCCAGAGCCCTGATATGTGGGAGATTAAAGCACTAAGTTTGAAACCCTGTGTAACCCCTCCAGTCAACTGGATTTGGGCAACTGTGTAACTGTCAATGGAGGTTAAATGAACAGTCTATATAAGTATGTGTATGTGTGTGTGCGTTTTAAATTATATTTCAGTGGAGAAGAGATTTTAATAGAAGTTGTGTTAGTTAAAATCTTTTTGGTTATAATTATTAGAATCCTACAGAAATTAGCTCAAATAAAAAAAATGGAGGGCATTTATTATATAAGAAATTGTTGTATTTCATAGAACCCAAAGGCAGGGTGCATTTGGGCCTCAGAATAAACTGGCTTGATTGCTTTGAAGCTTCATTAATTCTCTCTCCTTTCTGCTGTTTTCTGAAATTCTTTTTCACTACAGACTTTTTTTTCTCCTTATCCTAAAAAAGTCTTGTGACTTTCCACGGCACTTGGGTTTATAAAGCACGCATATTTTAGATTCAGTTACTGCAGAAGAAACTTAGTTCAGGTGTGTTGTCCAACAATGGCTATGGGGACAAGGTCACAATTAACAAATGTGGCTGTTCCTATTATAAGAATGCAGATGTGGGAGGAGAGGCAGCTCCCAGAAAAGAGGATAAGAAGATAAAATGAAAGTCATTCAATTACACATTTTTCTGAATTATATTCAGACCATAAACGATCCATTATTTTCTCACTGCTTTGGCTACTTACTTAAATAATTTACAGCTTTATACCTTCTATTATAGTCCTCTAAAAACACATCTGATCCATGAATTCCTAGAGGGCCATGTTCACTTTTCTTTGTATATTCTACTACATTTAATAAAGTTTTTATGCTCAATAATATTTTGTTGAATGAGAATGACTATTGAAGAATAATTGTACAGTTTTACCTTGTATTGAATGGAATATTAAGAGGAGTATTCTTACAACTTTTTTCCTGTTTTAGTGGTATGCAATCTGCCTTAGTGATGTTGGAGATTATGAAGGCATCAAGGTTAAAATTGCAAATGCCTACATTATCAAGGAACATTTTGAGGTACTGATAAATTATTAAAGTTCATGAATTTTGAAAGTCAATATTTTTCTGAAAATATTTGTATTTCATTCATCTGTTGCTATATATCAAACAACCTAAGACTGAGTGGCTTAAAACAATGACAATTTGGGGGCCGGCCCGGTGGCGCACTGGATAAGTGCGCCGCT